CTCCTTGGGCGCATCGAGAATCAGAGCCCTGGCCTGTGGCTTCTCTGGCCGGCGCGAGGAGGCGTGCACGCACCTCACCGCCCCGGAGCTGCCGGCGCCACAGGTATCCGGGCAGCCGCACCTCCGCGGCCGTGCCCCCCGCACCCCCCAGCGGCACGGCGCCTGATAAGCAGCGTTCTGTGGCGGAAAAAGAGATAAGCATGATATGGCCCACAGCCGACATCAAACAAAAATATACACTTCTTCAAGCCCAGTGTTTGTCCAAGAAATCTCTGTCGTACGACTCTCAGAAATCCATTCACTTATCCGACAAATATTGGCTGAGTGCTCTCTGGGGGACCCGCAGGAGGGGCCCAGGAGAAGCAGGGAACGTGAGCCCTGCACGCCAGGGACGTGGAGACCTAACGGCACCTGTCACCTTCCCACTGGCCTTCGCCAAGTTCTCTGCCGGCTCATTCGGCCACCTCGGAGCTGGGATGGTTCTCCCCACTTCGCAGAAGAACCAGCGGCCCGGAGAGGAAAGCAGCAGCTCTCGTCACGGGATCGCACGGCAGAACCGGGATGGGCCACAAATGTTCGCGCCCCACGCCTGGCCGTGCAGTTCCAGGTGTCAAGAGGCAGGATGGCCTCCAGCTGGGCCCCGAGGAGCCCGGCCTGCTGATCCCAGCTTCCTCCTCACTCCTGGCCCATCCTGGGTCCTGCCAGCCCTACCTCCCAGATCGATGGCCCCCGTGTCCGCTGTCACCATCTCTCCAGCAGCACCCCTGATCCATCACCACCAGCTCTCCCGTCCACAACCACCGTAGCCCCTGACCACCTCTCTTCATGCTCTCTCCACTTCATCCTCCCCGTGGCCACCAGAGGCGTCTCAAAAAACATCAATCAGACCTGACCTGCCACCCTTCAGGACACTCGCTACAACCAGGGTAAAAACCGCAGCCATGTGTGGTTCAGAGGGCTGATGGGGACACACCAGTGAGGGAAGAAGGGAGGGTGCTTGGGGAGACTGAGGCAGGTCTGCCCCGGGGGGGCGAGAAGGAGAGGCGGGTGGGGACGAGGCAGCAGAGCCTTGCACCCCAAGGACCGGCCGGCCATGGATGGCAGCACACAGGGCTGTGCTTCCTGCAGCCTGCAGGTCAGGGAGGTGTGTTTAAAGCCCCCTGCGAGCTCTCCAGGGACCTCACCTCGCCTCTCTCTTCGCCAGCCATCTCTGCTGCCACTCTCCACCGGCTTTGTCCAGCTGGTCACACCCACCAAGCGTGTTTGCATTCGAGGACTTGGCGTGCTCTGTTCCCTCTGCTTAAGAAGTCCAGCTCGTCCCGCAGCTACGTCCTCGTCATTCGATCCCAGCTCACCGGAGAGGAAGAGACCTGTCCCAGGCTAAACCCCCCGGGGCACGCCCCCTCTCTGCCCGAGCACGCCCCGCTGGATCCGCTTCTCCTTTGTCCACATGTCCCCTTCCCAGACTGTAAGCTCCTCACAGGCAGGGACTTGCCGCTCCGTATCCCCAGGGGTGGGATGGTGTTTTGGCACACACTAGGTGCCCGGCAGATACCTGCTGACTGGCTGACTTACGAGATTAGACCAGGTGAATGACTAAGGCCAGCTCCTGGGTGGGCTGCATGTTACGTGCCAGGCTGTGGCCAGAGGCTGTGGCTGGCATGTTTTGAAGGCGATACTGACCAGCCACCCTCACAAATGTGGCCCCAGGGAGCCATGTCCCCTCCCAAGCAAATGCGTGCAGCCAGGAGAGGGTGCGATGATGATGGGATTCGGGGACAGCAGCGGGATCGGCTGTGCGCCTGACTCGCCCGATCGATGGCCTGCCCCGCAGAGTCCGGGGGTCAGCCTGAGCGTCCACACTAATGGCCACGTGGCCACGTGGCCAGGGGGCCATGCCACCCTGCGGAACCACACCTGCCTCCCGAGCACCATCAGCACCCATCAAAACAGTCGCCGGGGGCCCAGGATGTGGCTAAGCCCAGGAATGAGGGATAATGGGGTGTCTGCTGCTGGCCGGGCGGGGGCCAGGCCCTGGCACGAAGGGAGGGGGAAGAGGGTTCTGAGGCAACTCCACAGGGAGTAAAAACTCAGCCCCTGTCCTTCAGCTGGGGTGGCGGGCCAGCCCTGGCCTGACCGAAGTGTGTGTGTTTTTTAGCACGACAAGGGGGAAAATCAACCTTGTTGTCAGGCATGAATGAATAGGTTTGTATGTCGCGGCCTTGGATCACGTGTGTGCCCGGACACTTTATGGAGTGACTACTTTCCAGCCTGCCCCCCACAAGCCTCGACGGGCAGGTCTCTCGACCTCTCTGGAGCCTCAGTCTCCCCACCTGTAAAATGGGGCGATGGCATCTGAGCCCCCCACCTCACAGGGTTGGAGACGAGCTTTCCAGACTGGAGATGACTCTAGAATGTCATTGTGTCTGGGGAGCCGGTAGGACTCGGTTACGTCCAGGAAGAAACACCCAGGGCACAAGGCCAGCTTCCGGGTAGGGGGCCGTGTCGTGGTTGCAGGGGGCCTCCGAGTCTGAAGGAGCTACGAGCTGCGCCCCAGACTGGACGCGGGGCTCACAGAGCTCAGGAGAGAGCGGCCAGAGCTGAGCTCAGGCGAGGAGCCTGCCCGCTCCCAACCAGACCGTAAGACGCGAGTCACCGCCACAAACGCCCTCACGGGCACGAAGGGACACAGCGTCCAGGTTTGCGAAGTGCCAGGGGCCACCACTGAGGTGCGTTTGCTCTGCAGAGAGGCGGGCAGCCGTGCGGGTGCTTCCGTGCTAAGCTGATGTGCGCGCCCTTCGGGGAGCTCCGGAGGCCGGACGCCCCCACCGGTGCGAGCACTCGGCGCCCAGGCTCCGGCCGTGTTCCATGGGCCGACGTTTGCCCTGGGGCGGTCCGGGGCCACCCCTTTCTCAGAGCGGTCAGCCAGGCAGACACGCATCCACTGTCCACAGCTGGGTTCAGACAGAGAGAGAAGGCCCCAGGTCTGCTGCTCAGCCTCCCGTGCGTGACCTGTCACAGGCCTGAAGAGGCAGAGCGTGTCACATCAGACTGCACTCGTCTCCTGCCTTGAAAGTTGTGGTTTCGAATGTCGGGACGCCCCCCGCCCCCATCCTCCTGGAGCGTCTTCCCATCACCTCCTGAGTTTGAGCTGCTTCTATGTCGGAAAAACCCCATGTGCCACAACTTGCCCGCTCTGGATGCCCTGTCCCTCACCCGAAATGTCACCCTCACATCCTCCACTGAACCTGCACTCCACAGGGTTGAGTGACCTTCCACCCGTCTGACCTCTGCACGAGGCCCTGGCCCCCGGAGGCCGTTCGATCAGGCAGGCCCGTGACGGAATGAAACCGTGGGGCCTTGTGCAGCCCAGCGTCACGCCAAGTGCAGGTCACCTCCTAACGGCTAACTGCCACTGCCCGGTGCTAAGGGTCACCAGGAACTGACTTTCCAAGAAGAAGGAAGGCACATCACAGGACGAGGCCCGTGACTGCCCTCGGCCTCGGTGACAGCTTTGCAGGAACGAGAACCAGCACCTCTAGGCCGGTAAAGCAATGCCCTTCGCCTAGGAGGCCTCGCTCCGCTCGGCCGGGCACTGCCCTGGGCTGTCCTGGCCTGCCCCGGCCTGCCGGGGATCCCATGTCCCCTCAGGGCTTCCAGGGGTGGCCATGGAAATTGCTGGAAGTCAAGGAGGCAGCCATTCCGGCTTCTGATTGGGGTGGGGAGGGTGCAGGCTGAGGGAGGGGCCGAGTCTTCAGTTACGACATCGGGCCGGGGGGGGTCTCACTTCTGCTTTGGGTTCCGTATTTGACTGTGAAGAGTTTCATTTGGAAGAAACCTTTTCTAGCACCCTTGGGAGGCAGAATGCAGAGCCGCGGCCCCTGTGCCAAACGAGGTTGCCCCTCGGGGCTCTGCCTTCCTTCTCTGAGAGGGGGAACACGTCTCCACACAGGCTGCGCCCTTGGGAAGTGGGGTTCAGAAAGCCAGGCCAGTGCCTGGCCCTGCAGGGACAGTGGCTCCCTTCAGGACTTGGGGAGATGCGCGCCCGTTCCCTGGGAGGCCTGGGCCCAGGCGGGCTGTGGGGACAGGCGGCACCACCGGGGGACTGAGGATCCCAGAACCCAAGGCCGGTCAGACCCTGCAGTTTGCACGCCTGGCCCCAGGGCCCTTCAAAATCTGACCACGATGTGCTCAGTCAAGCCAGCAAGCCACGTGGCTCGTGGCCGGTCAGGTCTCGGGTCGGGCGGGCCTGGGCGCGACCACGGCTCC